TACTCCAATTTAACTAAACCATTATGGATATCTTCTGAAGTTCTTAGTTCAACCCTAAAATCATGAATAATGTGGAATTAAATTTATCGATTAAAAGCAACAAATCACTTTTTAATTGCTCTAAATGTTTTTCCCAAACTTTTGATTGATTGATCGATCTCATGAATCAAAAGGTTAATCTAAATATTTGGATGTGTACTTGAATCTTGAAATAATAATATAAGGATGTAAAACAATAATCAATCCCCACCAAAATCATACTGGGCATTTGTTATTTATAATAGGAGGTGTATATGTAGTATATGATAGATGAAACTCTTAAAAACGTAAATTAGGGTTTCTCAGAAAACACCATCGCTCGAACATCGGGAGAGCGAGATGCGCATATCTCGAGAGCGAGTTGGGCGACAATGATTCTGCTTTGGACGCTCGAGCATCAGTTACGCGATTTGATAGCGTAAATCCGACGACTTTTTCCTTCTTGTTCCATACTCTAAACCAAAGACTCACAATTCATCTATACAATCCTCTAAAAGACTCATTGACTTTTGTAACAATCATATTCTTTTACAATAATTATTTTGTCTAAAAAATTATCAATACAACTAAAAACCTAACAATCTCTCCATTTAACATTTTGTGACGGAACTATACAATATAAGTCAAGGATGTAAAAACAAAACTATTCTACCCAAACTCAAACTGAATGTTTGTCTATTGCATTCCTTGAAACCCGTTTTCCGAAATCAATAATTCAAATACCAAGTGTAAAAATACGTGATACAGTAAATATAATAAATGAAATAGAATATTTGTCTCCATTTGACATTTTGTGACGGAACTATACAATACAAGTCAAGGATGTAAAAACAAAATTAATCTACCCAAACTCAAATTGAATATTTGTCTATTGCATTTTTTGAAACCTGTTTTCTGAAATCAATAATTTAAATACCAAGTGTAAAAACACGTGATACAATAAATATAATAAATGAAATAGACTATCATATGCTAGCTAGATTGAGAAGCAATACTAATGTTAATCAAAATACCAACTAAAACATTAAGTTTTATTTATAATGACAGGCAATTATGTGCTCAAATTGAGTAGTTTTAATGAATCATTAAGTGCTTGATTCTTAAGTTTCTGACATTAATGAGTGAATCAACATAAATTATAAAGCTTGTAAATTTTATATTCTTACACTTCTTCACCTTCTAGTTCACATTATAAACATGTACTTAAATGCTACAAGTAAATCGAACATATTATAAAAAGTTAAATTACATTTTATTGGATACAAATTGCGAAGAAAAAACAGAAATCCTTAAAAAGAAACTCCCCAGGAAATATCACATAGTTTGTAGGATAGAGACACAGCCCTTATTTATTTTAAGAACTTATACTAATTTACTTATAAGTAATTTTTTTAGATTTATAATAAAAATATATATGTTAATACATCATATGGCAGTTCTATTTTAATCTTCAAAAGATCTTTCTCCTTTTCATCAGCCTGAAAAAAGAGTAAAAAAAATATTAAACAATGGGCAAAATTTATGCACCACAAGAAGATAATTTAAACATTAATACTTCATTGGCAATTGAAAAAACAGATTTGGAGATTGTTTTTGAAGAATATTATGCCCCTGTTTTGTTTAGTTAAAAAAATTAATAAAAATTTAAGTCAAAAGTAAATAATAACTCACTGTTTGATGTAGTTAAAAATCAGATTTTTAGTAAATTTTAATAAAAGTTGTTAAAATGTTGTGAATCTTATGAAACGTGTGCTTAAAATTAATTATTTACTTTGACTTAAATTTTTATCAAAATTTTAATTTACACTAAATGGGGTCTAAATTTTATTAAACTCGAATCTTTTATCAATTGTCCAATCACTCATTTCACATATTTTATCAAAATATACTAAAATTTTAATTTCTAACTACACCAAATAGGGGCTTAATATTATTTTAGGCACTCTTTGAGTTTTAAGGATACTAAAAACTTCAATACAATTTACATTTTTATTTATTTTAAAGATGCAATTTTGTTGACAGTATGGGACAACTCCGATCATTTCTTTTTCGTGTCATAGATACGCAACGAAAAAGAAAGGCAAAGGAAAGGAACAAGTTCGCAAGAAATCCAAACGTATCACCACCTCCACAACGTATAGTTTGTTATGGATGATCAGCTAATCAGTATTCAAAGATTCATGTGTGTCAGTGTGTGTTGATGGAGAGAGGAATGACCTGAACAAATACAGTCTTCAAAACCCTATCAGAGAAAGCAGTGATGTTTACACCAATGATTTCGAGGTTCAAAGATTCAAATACCTCACATAGCTTTACCATTGTATTTGTTCCTTTGCTGCATGTGAGGCTAATTATGACTGTCTTTTCTCCCATCCTGGATACTGTCAACTAATAAATAGTAATCATTTTATCAATTAATCAAATAAAATAATACTGATATAAGAAATAATAATTAGTCCACCTCAAGAACTTCAATAGGAGACGATCTTGATCCTCCAGAATCGTAGAAGCTTTCACTTGTTATTCTCTTTGGGTTTAAAGAAAAATCTTCCTCATGATCAAACTCAGAAATTGTACTTTTTGATTCCAGACCTGATAGTTCTGCTTGAATTTTCCTCTCTTCTTCATGCAATTTTTGAATATAATCGATGGCATCTTTGACTATCGATTCTTTATGCATCTGATTTTTTTAAAGAAACAGGTTATACTGATCAGGCCATTGATTTTCGACAAAATTTAGCCTATGTTTCAACATGGTAACACATCGAAGAAATATGTGAGTTCAGGTCTCGCTATGGTTCACACATAAATCCTGCTTGTATTCGAGGATGCATGTTGAAGATAATATTTAAGAGATATAAATGTGGTGTTCTCAACTGCTTAATCTTTTAGATGGTTCAACACAAACATGCTCTAACCATTATTTTATTTTCCTGGTGGAACCAGGAAAATAAAATAATGGATGGATCGTATTTTTGTTATACCTTAGTAATGTTGGGAACTACAGATCTCAGTGCATAGAGCCTTTCATTGAGTTTCTTCCTTCTATTCCTCTCTGAAACAATGCTTTTGTTGGTCATCGATGATGACTGTGTTCCATCGTGAGAGCTTGAATCATTATGTGTAGGGATTGCTTCATCCAAATAACTGCTAAGATCAAATCAATATTCTCGTTAAGGTATATTCCATAGACACAAACACAGGACGCAGAACGCAAATATAAAACCCAGAATTCGTGTTTGGGTTCAGGTTTACATGGAACACATGACAACAAACATGAATGCAAATATTAAGCGAAGAGAAAATTTACTTTCGAAGTTCTTTAGCTTGGAGGAGTGTCATTGTTTCGAAATAGTGTGTGTATTCATTGCTAATGTTCTCCATTGTGTGAGTGTGAAATGCTGGAATAGATGTTTTCTTGGGATGAAGGGATTCTGGGGGTAATATGTTGGGTTTTATATAAGGGGAATATATAAATAATGTCGCGTAAGCAAGCTGTGTATGATAACGAAACACGTGACATTCTTGTTTGTAAAACGTGTGAAGTCTACCATTTGTGTTTAATTGACTCAAATTTTCAATTTTCTTGATGGGGTGATTTCCAAGCATTAATTGTGGTATGTAATCACGCTTACATCTTTAGTTTGATCTTGACGTGATAAATGAATATATCCTCGTCTATTGCAAAAAGGACTTAGGTTGAAGTGTTATTTCTATGAGATTGAAATTTTCATTTCAAAAAAATATAAAAAAATTGTATACCACACTATTTTTAATGGTTGGAGGACGGCTATGCCACGAAAACTCTTGGTATACGTATACCAAAATTAATGTAATAACGACATCTTGATAATTGGCTACACAATTGGAACTCTAAAAATGTAGAGTAATATTATTTAGTTATGAATCTTGGCCTAACCACAATGTGGCTCAAATTGTCTCATTTTTGAAAGTTGTGACATAAAACTGTTCGTAGAAAGACTTAATAGTTGTATCTTTTAAATTAAATAGTTCTTATGAGTGAAATAATATAAAAGGTCATGACCTGTGAACGAATGACCATCTCCAATTTATACATGTGGCTCCAATCTTTGTCGTGTTCTATTCACACCATTTCCAAAAAACTTCTCCCAAATTTTTAATCAAATTTTTTTCTTATATTCTAGTTCCAAAAAATTGCACGAAGTTCAATTTTTCTAATTAAGAAATTTGATTTTGAATTTCTATAATATTGTAGAGCTATTTCTATAAGATCGAAAATTCATTTTAATTTGATAAATTGCTTGAATCCATCACCACTACTAGATTGAACATATTTGTTTCAAGATCTGAACATATCAAACATTCAAGTTAGACAAATGAAAGTTTTACTTTATTTTCGTAGAAGTATTAAGCATACAATGCATGATTTTGTTATGAAAAAATGAATACTGTACTACCAGTTTGTTGTAATAAAATAAGAGATTAAGTGCAATATGAAGTAATTGATAACAAGAATATGGAAATTTTATTATAATATGGAGAAAGAATACAAAGATTATGTATTTATGATTTGTCTAACTTCATCTAAATCATAATAAAGAGTCAACTATATATAGAAAACAAATAGGGAACGTTCAAACCCTTACGTAATTAGAATGCCAAAAAACGAAGTCTAAAACGGAAAAGGACAGAAATATTGCGCAAAAGGCAAAGAGGCAGGCGGCGCCATCTATGGTGCTGCAGCATCGGGGCCGAAGTTGTTATGGAGCCACAGTGCCCACTTTGGGGCCGTTTACTCTCGAAATCTTGATTTTCTTTATCAAAATGTCTTTATCAAGTCCAACACAAATTCTTACTCTCAATGAGCTTCCAAATAGAACATTAATTAGAATTTGTTAAGTAAACTTGAATAGAATTCAACAATTGCATTCCAAATAGAATTATTTTTAATGTGCAATTTAATTAGAACTCTCAGTTATTTTATCATTCTCTCGTTATATGTAACCCAACCCTAGTTATTTTATCTATGTAACCAGAGTTATTTTGCATACGAAATCCCTTATGCGCCTTTGGTGATCTCATTTTTTCAGTCCAACTTGGTGGCTGGATTGCGTTTTGCATGTATTTCACCTTAGTCTCCTCTATATATTTCGGCAAGAACTTGAGTCAGTCTGTTTACACTCCAAACTCGACGATATTCTTAGGTCCTTGACCATATACTGGAATATATATCCTTGGACCTCCACTATTTGAATTTATGTTGTTAAAAATTTGAAAAAGAATTATAGTCAGACAAAACGTTCTTCAGCATTTAGTTTGGACTTATCCCTACATTAAACATGCAAGTTCGTTGAAATTTTGTGCACTTGTTCTGCACATGTTTCATTTTGAGACCAATTGACCTAATTGTGTCATTCTAATAATCAAGTTATTTTTTTCTAATATTGATATTTCAATCTACGTCCTAAACTTTATAATTTTGAATAATTAACTGCTAAATTGTTTTATGATGTTAATTATAAGAATTAAATGTTATGTATTTTAATATGTTTTATAACTTTATTACGTACAATTTTTTTCTTCTTATTTTCATCCATTCTTGGGGGAGGCTTGTTTTGTGTAGCCTTATTTTGTGTACCGGTACAAAATTACAAACCCTTTTCTTTAATATATTAAAAGATTCTTCCAATGGCTCAAAAAGGTTTCATTACCCTTTTATGAGCATTGTGTTACTAATAAGAAGCACGAATTGAAGTTCAGCAGTTCCACTGCTAGCTGTCTTGGAGTTGGTTCATTTTGATGTTCGGCAAGCATCAGTTATATTCCTAAGAGGTGCAAGATACTTTGTATCATTTATTGATGATTACTATGGGAGATATTGTGTGTATCTAATCAAGAGGAGGGCTGAAATATTCAAAGTGCGTGCGGAGCTTCAAAATATTCAAAGACTGACCCTTATTTTGTGTTTTGATACAAAGAATTAAAGTTCATATTGTTACATAAATTTATTAAAAGATTCATGATATCATAATAAAATAATTTTATGAAGGATTTTATCCAAATTATATTAGTACTTTTAAATTTTTTATTTAATTGGTTGACACGAATATTAAAACGTTTATCGATGATTAGTTCAACTTTGATATCCACATTAATTATCATTCAATGAACTTTGAATAAGAAGATGGATGTAAAGATTAGTTATGATTCATGTGCACTATCATTAATCTACTTTATTTAAATGATATGTTTATTAATTTATAATGTTTCTAACAATGTTTTAGTATTGCATTTCAAATTCATTTGAGTAAGAATACTAATAACTTCAATACCATTTAGGCTTGTTACAATAGAGGCTTGAGGCTTGTTTGACATTGTGAACCTTATTGAATAACACTAGAGAAGAAAAAGGAAACTTCAAATCTTACTCACTATATGTGTTTTTTTTTCCCCTGTGTGAGATAGATGACCTAAACAAGAGGAAATTACACTAGATGTCAATTTTTGACTTTGCATTTACAAAAATGTCACTTTTTAAAAATCTTTTAAAAAATTATCAAATTTTAGTTTAAATTTTTAATATTAGTTTAAATTTTTAATCATTCTAAAAATTATATAATAATTAAAATAATATATATCAAATTATAAAATATTATATTTACTTAAAAATTCTACAAATAGTCAATTATACAATTTTTAAGTTTTCGAAATACAAAATTTAAACTATTTTTCATAGTTTTGACTTTTAACTACACAAGTCCTACTTAATACCTTTATAGAAATTTCATACATACTTTTGAATTTTCTAATAAAACAATAAATCTCAAAATCATAATTACATAATGATGATAGCATAATAACCTAAATCTTATTTAACTCTTTATCGAAGTACAATTCAATATCATTTTCTTCATCTAATTTGTCTTCAGTGTCGTTCGATACAAAATCATTGTCCTCGAGCTCCCTTATTTCATTTTGAGCATTTCTAGTACCTCCTATTAAAGGCTTTTAAAAAAATAATAAAGAGTGCCTAGTCGCACATTTTGCACTCAGTGCCAAGGTGTAACGTTTTGCATGCACCTTGCATCTAGGTATCTTTTAAGCGCACTTTTTAGAATACTAACCACATGTGAGGCTAATTATGACTATATTCTCTTTCATGCTTGACAATCTCAACTGACAATCATAAATTAATAATAGAGGTCGGAATTTTTTCCTAGAACCTGCCGGTTTTGTTCAGATACCTTAATTAAATAGATCGGTTTTAGGACCGTGCATTTAGAACCGATTGGTTCCGGTCCAGTTTTTGGTATTTTAAATTTTTCTTATAGGATATTATTTTATTGCATTGTATAAATAAGAAAAATTGAGCCTTTTGAAAAAGAGAATTTCATGAAATATTATCTCAATTATGTGTTCAAATTGAGTAGTTTTAATGAATCATTAAGTGCTTGATTCTTAAGTTTCTGACATTAATGAGTGAATCAACATAAATTATAAAGCTTAGAAATTTTATATTCTTACACTTCTTCACCCACTAGTTTACACTATAAACATGTACTTAAATGCTACAACTAAATCGAACATATCATAAAAAGTTAAATAACATTTTATTGGATACAAATTGCGAAGAAAAAACGGAAAACCTTAAAAAGAAACTCCCCAGGAAATATCACATAGTTTGTAGGATAGAGAGACACAGCCCTTATTTATTTTAAGAACTTATACTAATTTACTTATAAGTAAACTTACTTATAAAAATATGTTAATACATTACGACAACATACTTTAACTATTAGCGTTGTGTGGAGCACTTAGAGCTGCTATGGCAGTTTCTATTTTAATCTTCAAAAGATCTTTCTCCTTTTCATCAGCCTGAAAAAAGAGTAAAAAAAATATTAAACAATGAGCAAAATTTATGCACCACAAGAAGATAATTTAAACATTAATACTTCATTGGCAATTGAAAAAACAGATTTAGAGATTGTTTTTTGAAGAATATTATGCCCTTGTTTTGTTTAGTTAAAAAAAATTAATAAAAATTTAAGTTAAAGTAAATAATAACGCACTGTTTGGTGTAGTTAAAAATCAGATTTTTAATAAATTTTGATAAAAATTGTTAAAATATTGTGAATCTCATTAAACATGTGCTTAAAATTAATTATTTACTTTGGCTTAAATTTTTATCAAGATTTTAATTTACACTAAATGGGGGCTAAATTTTATTAAACTCTTAATCTTTTATCAATTGTCCAATCACTCATTTCACATATTTTATTAAAATATACTAAAAATTTAATTTCTAACTACACCAAATAGGGGCTTAATATTATTTTAGATACTTTTAAGGATATTAAAAACTTCAATACAATTTACATTTTTATTTATTTTAAAGAAGCAATTTTGTGTCATAGATACGCAACGAAAAAGAAAGGCAAAGGAAAGGAACAAGTTCGCAAGAAATCCAAACGTATCACCACCTCCACAACATATAGTTTGTTATGGATGATCAGCTAATCAGTATTCAAAGATTCATGTGTGTGCAGGGACGGAGTTAGAAGAAAATAATCGTGGGGGCAAAATTTAAAAATTATGAGGACTTTTTTGAAAATCTTTAAAAGACCTTGGGCAAAATAACTTTTTTAAAATTTATTGTGTCCACTGCCCCATGGTAAATCCGCTATTGTGCATGTGTTGAGAGAGAAAGAGAGAGGAATGACCTGAACAAATACAGTCTTCAAAACCCTATCAGAGAAAGAAGTGATGTTTGCACTGATGATTTCGAGGTTCAAATATTCAAATATCTCACATAGCTTTACCATTGTATTCGTTCCTTTGCTGCATATGAGGCTAATTAAGACTGTCTTCTCTCCCACACTGGATACTCTCAACTAATAAACAGTAATCATTTCATCAATTAATCAAATAAAATAACAAATTAATAAATAATACTGATATAAGAAATAATAATTAGTCCACCTTTAGAACTTCAATAGGAGATGAACTTGATCCTCCAGAATCGTAGAAGCTTTCACTTGTTATTCTCTTTTGGTTTAAAGAAAAAGCTTCCTCGTGATCAAACTCAGAAATTGCACTTTTTGATTCCAAATCTGATAGTTCTGCTTGAATTTTCCTCTCTTCTTCATGCAATTTTTTAATATAATCGATGGCATCTTTGACTATCGATTCTTTATGCATCTGATTTTTTAAAGAAACAGGTTATACTGATGAGGTCAATGATTTTCAACGACATTTAGCCTATGTTGGTAACAAATCAAAGAAAATATGTGAGTTCAAGTTCGCACATATATCCTGCTTGTACTCGAGGATGCATGTTGAAGATAATATTTAAGTGATATACATGTGGTGTTCTCAACACAAACATGCTCTAATCATTATTTTATTTTCCTGGTGGAATAAATAATGGATGGAACATATATTTGTTATACCTTAGTAATGTTGGGAACTACAGATCTCAGTGCATAGAGCCTTTCATTGAGTTTCTTCCTTCTATTCCTCTCTGAAACAATGCTTTTGTTGGTCATCGATGATGACTGTGTTCCATCTTGAGAGCTTGAATCATTATGTGTAGGGATTGCTTCATCCAAATAACTGCTAAGATCAAATCAATATTCTCGTTAAGGTATATTCCATAGACACGAACATAGGACACGAATATAAAACCCAGAATTTGTGTTTGGGTTCAGGTTTACATGGAACAAATGACAACAAACATGAATGCATGAGTTAAGTGGAGAAAATTTGACCGTTGAAGTTCTTCTGCTTGGAGGAACTTAATTGTTTCGAAATAGTGTGTGTATTCATCACTAATGTTCTCCATTGTGTGTGTGTGAAATGCTGGAATAGATGTTTTCTTGGGATGAAGGGATTCTGGGGGTAACATGTTGGGTTTTATATAAGGGGAATATATGAATAATGTCGCGTAAGTCAAGCTGTGTATGACATATTTGTTTGTAAAGCATGTGGAGTACGTCATTTGTGTTTAATTGACTCAAATTTTCAATTTTGTTGATAGGGGTAATGTTCGAGCATTATTCGTGGTACGTAACAATGCTTACATCATCAGTGCTATGTCATGAGTTTGATCTTGATGTGATAAATAAAGATATCATCATCTATTGCAAAAACAACTTAGATTGAAGTGTTATTTCTATAAGATTGAAATTTTCATCTCAAAATAAAAATAAAAATAAAAATTGATGTGCACAAAGTTTAATTTTATTAATATTCCATCTCCAAAAAAAATTCCATGTAGTTTAATTTTTCTAATTAAGAAATTTTATTTACAGTTCTTATAAGATTGAAGTGCTATTTCTATAAGATCGAAGTTTTAATTTGATAAATTGCTCGAATCTTTCGTTACTATTAGATGGAACGTATTTGTTTCAAGACAAGAACATGAATCATTCAACTTAGATAAATGAAAGTTTTATTTTTTCCATGTTTGATAAACATTATTTGAAAACTCATTTTTTTTTTTACATATTCATTTTAAACTATACATTCACAGAATAAAATATTATACACGTAGATTCAAAACTTTTCTCTATTTTTAACTACGCGTTCTCTTAAAAATCACTATTCAAAACATTATTTTTTTCCAAATAATGATTGTGAAACAGAGACTTTGTTTCTGTAGAAACATCAATTATGGGTTCTAGTATCGTAAAAAACAGCTATTACAACGAAAGTGATGAACAACCTTATGGTTCACTCGTATGTAATCCATTATACATGCAATCAATTGGGTGGATGGAATGCTGTTTGCGTGTTTTTTTAACCTTAGTCTCCTCTATATATTTCGGCAAGTGACTAAGTCAGCCTGTTTCCACTCCAAACTTTGTTAATTTTCAAAGGTTCTGGACCATATACCACAGTACGCAGTAGAATATATGTCCATCAAGGTCCAACAGTTGAATTAAGAATTTTTCTCCCTATTTTTTTCAACTACACATTTTTCAATAAAACAATATTACACACAATTCAAAAAAATCTTTCATTTTTAACCACACATTTTTCAATAAAATAATATTATACACAATCCAAAAAAATTTCCTTCATTTTTAGCCACACATTCTTCATCAATCTATTATTCTAAAATGCATTATACACCAAAAGTGAGGCTCAAATAGGCCATGGGCACTTGTTTTGCACATGTTGTATTTTGAGATCAATTGACTTATTAATTGCATCATTCTAAATCCCGTGTGATGTTATATTAAACGTAGGAGCCGATGAATTCAATTGATTATCGACAACTAAGTCCAAAGGTTTGACCCGAAAACAACATGAGTCATTGGTGCTTAAGGAATTAATGTTACTCATGACCCATATATTCATCTATTTGATGGCTCTTGATTCTAGCCTATTTATCGTTTTCTTAGTCCAACTAGAATCTAACATATTCCTATATATAGGCTACTTACCTTAGCCCTTTTTTTTTGGGTGTGTGCATTAGAGTGAAAAATGTGGCCGCTTTGAGAGGAAGAAACCGACTGCCATAGTGAAAGAAAAGTAGCTGCTCCTTTGTGTATTTCGGTCTTCTCTTGTGCCTTCTTTTCGTTGTTTTTCTTCTTGCCATTGTGCCTACAAATCAACACCGTTATTTTGTTCTTTGTGGGTGAGATTGAAAAGCAATCGAGGTGATAATATTGGTTGTAGGTCGAAATCGTTTGAATTGGTTGTTTGGTAAAAAATGTATCGTGAAACTGAATCCAAAAATCATCGTTTCGAAAATTTTGAAACAAGCTTCCGCGACACTGATAATCAAGCTAATAATTTCTAATAATTGATTGTGAGGAATTTATTTCAATCTATGTATTTCATTTCAATATAGTTGATAACTTCAATATGTACAAATGTTATTTTTCCCCTTAAATTCATCCACTCTTGGGAGGGAACTTGTTCCTAGATGGGGTTCACTCTTGAGAATTGACCCTTATTTTGTGTAATACAAAGAATTAAAGTACATATTGTTCCATATATTTGAACTTTAATATATTAAAAGATTTCGTGATATCGAAATAAAATAATTTTATGATTGATTTTATCAAAATTATATTTAGCCTATGTTTGCTATAAATTAAAGGGATAATTGCAGCAACTGTACCAAACCTTTCATTTAGTAGCAGACTTTATCCAAATATTTTATTTATGTCATTCATGGTACCAAACCTTTCATAAATTAGCATTTGGAGTCCAATCTGGCAGAATCTACTTCAAAATATGTTAGTTGACCAAAATTCAATAGTCAGCACAAATTTTGACTAATTTTTAGAGGATAAAATAATTAAATAAAGAAACCAAAAAAATAAAAATAAAATAAAATAAATTTATCATCTTCCCCAATCCCACCCCGCCCTCCATTTCCTACCACAAATCCAAATCCCACCCCATCCATCGCGGGGCCACTGCCGCCGCTTAAAACCCAATCTTGTCAGTGTAATATCCAACTATCAAATGCCTATTTTAACTTTTAAGCAATAGATAGAAAGGACAAGGGACGAAGGGGTTTTTCCTTGTATTGCACTAAAAATTGGAACAATTTACCGTGAAGGAGATGCTATTGCCACCAATTTAATCATGTGTTGCACTGGTTTCATCTTAATTATAACCAAACTTGAGAGGTAATACCAGTGTTCTAAAAGGCATAATGCGTGGAGACCAAGCTATAGGCTAGACGAGTTTAAGCGAGGCATATGTGTAAAAAAGCGTAAAAAGGCATTTTCTTATTTTAATATTATTTTAATTTTTAATCAATTAAAAATAATAATTACTAAACATATAAAACAGATTTATAGGAACTTTATACATTTTTTCAAAGATTCTAACAAAAATATAAGATTAAAATTTAAATACAAAATAGTAAGTAAATAGCATAGTAACTTAGATTTTATTTAACACTTTATTGGACTCCAATTCAATAACATCTTATTCATCTAATTCATCATCCGTGTCTTCTGATACAAAATTCTCTACGTCAGGCTCCCTTATATCATTTTCCACCCCATCATACTCCCTTAATAACTCGGGTGTCTTAANCATCATACTCCTTATTATCACAACCATCTACAATTCAAAATTGTGCATTAATTGCATCACTTGCTAACAGAGTCTCTATTTTGTCATTCCTCCTCTTCTTGTTTGCCAACCTTGCATTAAATTGGACATAGACAAGATTGTTCATTCTAGTAGTGTCAAGTCTATTCCGTTTCTTTGTATGTATCTACCAAAAAAGTGTACATTTAATGAAGCAAAGCATATTCAAGTAATTATTCATCACTCATTAGTACGTAAAATATAACAACCTAATTAATAATTTAATACTTACCCCTTCAAAAGAACTCCAGTTTCTCTCACAACCGGATAAACTAGTACTCAAACCAAGTATAATTTTTGCCATGATCTTCAAATTGGGTGTTTCATTCCCATAAAAATCCCAGCAACTCACTAATAAATATAAATGAAAGAGACAAATATGTTATTTAATATATATATATACATAATCATATTACATTTATAAAATATAATAAATTATTGATACGAGAGAGAGAGTAATATGTTAACATACCCGGAATGTAATTTTCATCATTGTTCTCACATGCACTTATTGCAAGCTTCCTTTCAAATGAACCTTCCATTTGGACAAATCTTTGCAACTCAATATTTATCACAAGAATTGGACATATCTTTGCAACTCAATATTTATCACATGATGTTGTATTTGATCATTAGGAAAGAATTTCTCAACACAATCAATCAAATTATTTATCATGAATGAATCGTCTTTGATACCTTGATTTTTGAAGAAATAGAATGGATTCAAAAAATAAGCCGTTGTATGAAGTAGACTATCAAGGCGACCCTTACTTTTAGCATCAATAATGTCCAAGATTGGCCTAAAATCACACTCCCTCTTCCATATCTTTGCAATGTCATCATTTGCCTTTAGTAGCATTATTCAATAGCTTTTCTATTTTTTTAGACTTGGTCCCTTGAATCGTCTCAACACACTTAGCTTTTTGTTCTTCACTTGCTTTAGGATATGATGCCACATATCTTCCCTTGATTCCCGCTACGTGAAGTTTATGCCTAGATATTCCTACCCTAGTAACCTTATCACATAATATGCATTTCATATTATTAAGATTGTTTGGATCTATCAAAATCGCGATTTCCAATCCGACATCCCCAGAATCTCTTTTGAGTTGACTAGCATTGGTTTTAGATACGGTTGAAGAATCACCTTCTTCCATTGGTTCCTAAAAAAATAGAAACAATATAAAATTTATAAACATTGGGGTTCAATGTACTAAAATAAAATAAGACTAAGATGCACCCAAAATTATAAGTTCTTTAAACATGAAAATTGAAATACCCCAAATTTTCTCATTTCCCCAATTTTTTATTTTTTTTATTTTTGCACGTTTCTTTAGTGCAAAAAGAACATAATTTGATCAAATTCAAAGATTCCAAATTCATGAATGAATATTATAATGATCACAATTACAATAACATTGCTATATTTGCCTTTATCCACCTACCAAGCCCATTTTACACATAAAAAATGGTAAAATTGATATTGGACACTAGAGAAAATTGAAACTGTGGACCCAGTGCATTGAATCATTACTCATAGCCATTAGCCACTATTTTTGACTTTTATTATGGAGATTCTAAGGTTTGTCTTTTGTATAGAAAATTAGAAATCCTACCGCCTACGTGAATACTATGGAGTATGGACCCACGGTCAAAAAGGAAAAACATAAGGTTTGTCTATTTTCTTTTGCATATTGAGGGAGTTCAACTTACCTTCGAAAGTGTTGAAGATGAGACTAATTATGATTATATTCTCTCCCATGCTTGATAATCTCAACTGCAAAT